TGAACATCACCTCATCTTGTTGCAGGTGCGCCTGCCATCAGACTTTGCTTTCAGTATTCAGTTTGCAAGGTGGCTGTCATCTATTCGATGTCAACAGCCCTACATTCTTAAATGCGTTGTCTTCCGTCAATAGGTCGCTTTGGTTGGGTATTCTAGTCGTTTTGCTACAACGGCACTTTTCACAAGGTCTTATCACTCATTTCCTAAAACTAATCTTAAAGGCTACATTCCGGTCACTGCCCGAATATTGCATTCAGCTTTGTTAAGTCTTGCCGTTTCTAGGTCATAGAGCAAGATCTTTAAAACGCAGGTTTTGTGTATCCACGTAGGTGGACAAGTAGAGAAGTTAACGTACCTAAGGATTGTGTATACTGATAGCAGAAAATGAGAAAAAGAGATTGGCAAGTGGATGGGCATGACCCACAGGGTCCTGCGTGAACTAACCCAAACCGTTGTGACTAAGGCAGATCTGAGTCTGAAGGTTAAACTCTCTGCGTTGAGATAGATCTTCATCCCGATGCTCACCTGCGGGCATGAATGATGGGCAATGACTGAAAAACTTGATCTGGATACTAGCAGCTGAAATTAGCTTTGTGAGACGAATTCCTGAGCTAATGCTTCTCGTCAATAGGTATTTGTCCGCGGTTTAGTATTCGACCGAGCCTTGGTGTACAACTGCTGCATCTTCAGATTGAGAAGTAACAGCTGCGGTGGTTTGAGCACTTATTGCGAATCCCTCCAGAAGGGAAAGTTAAGCAACTGTTTCTTGCCCCGCCAACTGGCAGAAAGACCAAGGCAAATATATGGAAGGAGTATGTTCCAGACTCCAGTTGCCTTCTGCGAAGCTCACTCTCTAGTACAGGATCGGGAATGTTTGAAGCCCTACCTGACGCGTTTGCCTCCGCAATCATAAAGAACAACTGACCATCAAAACTGACGTTTCAAAGCGAATCAAAACAACATAACGAATAATCACAATGAAACAATGTGCAGCTGCGAATTTTTTCTCATCACCGACATACCCACTAACGAATTAACATAGTATTTTGAAGTGAAGCTAATTGCCGATACAAGCTTGTGCGATCGCACGAAGATGAATCAGTCGAAGATAACTTAGCTGTCTCAAGGTTTGTACGGAAAACATGTGGTTCTATTTCGAGGCAGATCATCAGATTGTATGCATTTGGAAGGTACAGCTGTGGGATCTCTGATCTCTCTGATAGTCGCCAGCACATTCATGGAGAAGTTCGCAAAGGACCCTCTCAGTAACTTCACGCTTCATGAGGACACGCTGATGAGATCTTTATGAGAGTAAAAACCGGTAATCTAAATACGGTGAATCCATCCATCCAGTTTTCAGTAAAAGTCGAAAAGAACCTATCCATTTCGTTTTGCAGTACGAATTAAGTAGATAAAGCGATGGATAACTAAAATCTGCGGTCTATCATAACCCTACACATGCGGAACAGTGCCTCAATTCGATTCCAATCATCCGGTATTCACTGAGTGGGAGTAGTCAGAATTGTTCATGTAACATAGCCGTGCGACTAACAACTCTCCAAAAGAACTTCAACAGAAAATTAATCTCTCAAAGTTCATCAAACAGCAATAAGAAACAGGAACAACATGAGCATCGCTGGTCAACCACGAATACAAATGCTAACTCTGACATGAACCATCTGCATTCCTCATGCTTACGTCATTTCAGAGTCAGTCATGCGTGTGCTGGAAAAGAGAAACTTAAGGACCGTCTTCAAATCAGACTATAAATTATGATCTCACTTGAGTAAGAACAAAATAACTACAGATGAGAAAACTGATGTAATCTACTGCACGAGTTACACGGAATGCCTGCTATCCTACGTTGGTCGAACCTGTGCGGAACGAGGACCGCGGTTTCAGTTGTAATATCGTTTGAAAGATTTGGTGAAAATTCATGAAGCTGGACAGATGGGTTAGCGACTGTTGCCATTTCCATTTGGGCTGGTACAATCCTCAAATTTGCACAGCATATTTGAACTACCAGACCTTAGAAGCTCAACTGCATATCATGCTGAGAAATCGTTGTCACCGTCCTACCATTTTGAGTAAGTGGACTTGATCA